GCCACCTTAGGTGTACGTGGCTGGCACCTTAGCCGGTTGAGCTACAGGCGCCGAGCCCAGAGCTGTATTTCTAATTCTAACCTAAAGCCACAGTTGGAAGAGGAAAAGGAGGTCTGTGGCAGTCTCTACAGAGGCTCTCACACCTCCTCATGGCAAGACCGCCACCTGCACTGCCTCGGAGCTGCAGCCAACCCCATAGTGGCTACAGATAATTGCAAGCCCATGTGATGATACTATGCCCAGGGAAAAGCATCATGTTTGGGGAGCACAGAGGAAGGTCATCCAACCCAGATTTGTGAAGCCAAGAAATGCTTCCTAGAGGAAGTGGCATCTATATCCAACACCAAGGGATGATCCAAATTCACCAGGCAAGCAGGGGACAGAGTCCAGGCAGATGAAACTGCATGTATGCAAACACGGACATGTGATCACTGCAGGAGGCAGAGTTACACAGGACAGCTAGAACTGGACAGAGTCGTTGGAGACGAGGTAAATGAACAGTAATGCACACTCCAGTCCTGAGGTAAAGGGCAACTTCAACTCAGGAGCAATGGCGAGCCCCTGAAGGATCTACAGCAGGACACACAATCAGACCTGATTTTTATAAAAACACTCTGGCCACAGTGTGAAGATCAGGATGGAAGGGATAAGACTGAAGGTGAGGAGGTTAAGAAGGTGCAGTACCAACCCAGGGGATACGACAGAGGCTGAACTAACAGGAATGGTGGGATGGAGGGAAATGACAGATCTGAGTGAGGTATGGGAAACTAGCATCAATGGTAACTTGGGAACTGGAGAGTGCATGGGGCCTGGGGCCACTTTTGAAGGTCCCCTCTCCTTATACCCTGATAGCATTCTAATTCATGGTCAAAAAATCTTTTTCTCATTCTATAAGGTAAAAGAATTAAGAACAATTCAGCTTTCTAGTTTAAAAACAGCCAAATGTGGCTTGAGCGGCTAAGGTGCCAGCCAGCACATATACCTGAGCTAGCGGATTCAAATCCAGCCCAGGCCCACCAAACAACGATGGCTGCAACCAAAAAATAGCCAGGCCTTGTGGTGGGCACTTGGGAGATGGAGGCAGGAGAACCACTTGAGCCCAGGAGTTGGAGGTGTGATGCCACGGCACTCTACCCAGGGCAACAGCTTGAGGCTCTGTCTCAAAAAAACAAATAAAAACCCCAGCCACATGTAGAGTACTACCTTTCACTGAAATGAGAACAAAGGCAGTTAAGCAGGACTAGAGGCAGGGGCAGGATGGGAAGACAAGTTCAACTTCAGATACACTAGTTGTGAGGTGCCCACAAGGCCATCCAGACAAGAGGAAATATCTTACAGCTCTATGGGGAGCTGGAAGTGAGCAACCTGAGGGGCCAAGAAATATCTCCAAGTGAGATATAGACATCTGAGATTCATCAGCTTATAGATGGATATGGAAGACTTGGGTGTGGTGGAGGCCAAGGAGGCAAGTGTTGCTTCGTGAGAAAAGACTGAGCTTTGAGAGCACCCTGAGGACCACCAACATCGGAGGCACAGGCAGAGGAAGAGGAGATGACAAAGAAGGCTGTGAAGGGGCAGCTAGAGAGGAAGGGGGAATCAATGGTGCTCAAATCTGTCAGCACAGTCAAGTTAGATAATGATCAAGAAGGACCCATCAGCTTCACACCGCAAAGAGGTCACTGCTGCTCTGAGAACAGTTCCAGGGGCAGGGTCATAATGGCTGGAATCAAGGATGGACAGCAGGTAGACACAGGGAGTGTGCAGACAACCTGCAATGATATCTGGCTAAAGGGGAGGAGAAACAGGAGATGATACCTGGAGGGGATATAGGGCCAAGGAAATACTTCTCTCTCTCTCTTTTTTTTTTTTTCATTTTTCAGACAGGAGAGATGAGCAGGCATTAAATGCTATTGTGTTTGTATAAGAGAAGAGGAAAAGGTTGGGAGTCAAGAATGGGGTTTCAGGTTTTC